CTCCCGCCTCCACCTCCTCCGGCCCGAGCTCCAAGCCTCCAGCCGCCTCCTCCGGCCCTGCACCACCCGCACCCGCCCCCACCTCCTCCGTCCCTGCCCCGGCTCCACCGGCGGCCACCCCCTCCGTCCTCCGGAGGTTGACAAAAGGTTGCCTTTTTCTCCTTCCTTTTGTTAATTATGTGCGGATCTCAGGTGCAGGAGTTACGATATCATGGGAAATACGCGTTGCGGCAGGGAACTGATGTACTACATCTACAGTTCTCTCATGAATGCTTTGTTTTTTCTGTCGTTGTGTTTGGTCTGTGGAGTGTGGACAATGCCTCGGGCTCTGCTCAGTTATCTTGTTTCTGAAACGAACTCCGATGTGCTGTTTCATTGGTATTTCAAAGTCCAAGCCTTTGTTGTTGGAAGGCGCGGAGAGATAGTTAGTTTCCACTTGCCTAGTCAAGCATGACATGAACACTTGCTGAAATAAGCCAGATGATTGCAAAACATAAAAGCGCAAGTTAATGATATACTAGAAGAATTAGGACAGAAAGACTGAATCTTCAGTAGGAGTCCGAACTCCCAACAAAATTTTGTTTAAGCATATATTTGTTAAAGACTGGAACGCGTACATGTTTGTATCTCCTTATGAATAGCTGTTTTATTTAGACGCATTCATGACCCTGGCAAAGAAATACATCTCATCCATATATTGAGTAACTATGCAAAAGGACAACTTTCAGGTTCTGCAGCAGTGTGTACTAAATACTAGTACTATTATTGTCAATCAGCAACCCCATTTGTTGAGCAAAGTGGTAGAATTAGAAAGAATCCCTACGTTTAAATATTTTTCCATTTCTACAAAATGGCTCCACCATGATTCTTTTTGGCAGGTGCCATTGGCATGACCAGCTGACCAAAAAAGTGTAGAAAGTCTCTACGCAGGACCTGGTTTCTCTTAACTGTGCTAATAAGGGAACTGTTATTGACAGCTGATGGTTTAACACTGGCACATTTTACATAACCTGGTGCTTTCATCATTCATAATGCAAGATTGCGAAACCAAAAGCTCTAGCTGTAGGTTGTAATTTCTGTTTTGATTGTGAGGATTATTTTTCTGCTCTTGTGACATGTATTTGTCTCCAAGTTGGTCCTGAAAGTAGATATGAAATTAATATTTTCTAGTTTATTAAGTTTTTTATCGGAGAACGTGTTTATTGAGAATGGTCGTAGGAGTACATTGTTTACAACTTTTGCTGGACAACAGTAGATGGTCTATCTGTATAATTTTGTTTGGCAATCATGATGAAATTTGTTTATGATGATGCTCATACCAATGTATGAGAATTAACAAAGCAGGTGATGTTAGTGAGGGTGCTCATATTCTGGCCAGCCATGTTCAACGATGCTTTCGCTCATGTGAATGCATGTAAATTGATTTATACTAAATAATAAATGCTTGTACTTGTCACATGGCTTTACTTCTAGCTGTATGTTTTCAGATTGACCAAGGCTTTTTTAATTATTTTTGTTTGTATGCAGAAATAGTCAACTATTTGGAAAATACAATTGCTTAACCTATCTTAGGCCCGCAGGAAGGGAACAAATTCATCTGTAGGGCTCCATCATGAATGAGTAAGTTAGTATTATGGTATTCATCAGCGTGAATTTTCTTTTTCTAACTTGCAAGTTCTCTGCTATTGATTCCATTATCATTTCTTTCCTAAAGAAGTAGATTAGACGGAATAGAAGAAACTGTGTCTATGTATCCAGTAGAATGTTAATTTTAAATCCTAATGTTTCAGCATCCTACATACTTTCTTACGAATAAATGGACATTCTTTAATAGCCATGTTTACATTTTAGTTATTAGGAGGACATTGCAAGTCATTGTCTTGTTGATTTAATTCTTTTATGCAATACTATATCTCAGCTTACCAAATAATGGAACACCGAACACCTAATTGATGTGTATCTGAATTTCTCTTTATTTAGCAGCAACATGATCAAACGAGCGGAACGCCCAGGCTTTTGCTTGATAGGAAGTAAAGTGGTTGTGCTAGTGAATCGCTACATCACATATTTTTGCCCAGAAACAATTATCAATATGTACAAGGTGAGTTAATTCGGCAATTCTGTCTTTACTTTCGGAAATGCGCACATCTTCTATTCCGTATTCTAATGATGTTTTAGTTTTCTGTGACTCCCGAGACAAAATCAAAAGCTATTAAAGGAGCATTAGTAGAAGAACTCACGAAAACGAGTCTTGGAAATAAAGTGATTGCTTTTGATGGCATGCATATCTACACAATCACTCTTTTCCCATCTGAGTATGAAAAAGAGTATGTCATCGAACTGAATGAAGGTGCTAGTGAGGATGCGTCGAGGTCCGCACATTAACTTTTGACATAACTTCTATGTCGTATTTCCTTTTTTTTGTTCAGTTGCTAGCTATATTTCATGATTTAATTTACAGGAGTGTTAGTTATAGTGTCACAATTCATTTGGCTAAGTCACTGAAAATGCAAGAGTTGAAGGACTATTACAATGGAGAACAAAGTTATGTTTCTCAGGATATTTTACATGCAATTAATGTTGTCTTGAGAGCATTATCTTCAAGGTAAGAATTCACCATCTTAAGTTGCGGTATTATGTTTCTACTCAACTTTGAACACCTAAAGTAGAGAGTGCAAGATCAAATTCCAGCAAGTGTCTTGATAGAAGAAATTTATGTGAAATGGGTAGGATTCCACCGAAGCTACAAACATCCTAAATATGGAAGAAACCGTAGATCAAAGAGAACTCAAAATTCAAAATGATAAATAAAAAGTGGTGCATTGTTCTTTGTAATGATCAAGTCAATGCATCAAGTATGGGGTATGGCTATGACTATGATAGATATTTTTTTTTGCTTTCATTTGTTTGTGACTTATTCGTACTGCAGCTGTCTCAATGCTCCAAGGGCAATGTTTTCAACTAAGTTTGGTCCTATAATAGACACTAAAGAGGGGCTCGAGCTTTGGCAGGGGTGCTACAAGGGAGTTTGCTTGTCACATTATGGTCTTGATTTGACCATAGGTACTCTATGAAGACTTATGTTATGTTCTAAATTAGTCAAACTCTTTCCTACAATGTGACAAATTTGGTGGAAGTTTTTAGATTTATTCACTTTTTTCTTGATGCATGCTAAACATAGATATACTTTGTTGCACATGGGCCACTTGGATCATCCACGCACACAACCCAACTCCCCCACCCCTCAAGATAGGTGATAGATATCTCTTGTTTTGATCTTGTAACAAGCTCAATAAGAAATCGTTGATCTTACTGTACTCATCTTTGTAACAGATTCAAATATCCCATCCTTTTCAATCCCATACATTTGGCTATAACCCCTTACCATGAACCTCACAGTGTAACACTGCACCTGCCCTTCTAGATTTTGCTTTATACTCCCTCCGTCCCACAATATAAGATGTTTTTGCAAGCTAAAACAACTTGCAAAAACGTCTTATATTGTGGGACGGAGGGAGTAGTATATTACCCATTTCCCTTTGTACCGGGGGAAACATTGCCTCATGCCACTTTGGATCTTGCTCTGTCGCCTTCCATTCTATTAGGATCATCACAGATTGCAATGATGCAGTGGCGAATTTTGTACAATCATCTAGATTCATTCACTTCTCCTTCTTGATGCTTTTATGCTTGGGCCACTCACACACACTACGTACCCAACAAATTTTCCAGTGCTTTATTTGAATGATTTACTTCATAATAGCCTATTCCTAAACGACCTAGGATTCAGTTTTCTATTTGTAATCTTGTGTATGATCTTAATTTTTAATGATTTATCTAAAAAATGATTTGGATGTGTTTTTGCTATTCAGATACAACTGTAGCACCTTTTTATAAATCAATTTCCATGGTCAAGTTTGTGGGTGAATTTTTGGGCCGAACTGACTTCAACCGGGCTTTCTCTCATAAAGAGTATGCAAAGGTATTAATCTTGAGTAAAGAAATAAATATTTATGTTGGTATTCAAATATTAGATAAATAGTGCTTTTGAATTTTAATTTGTAATGACTTGGTCACTATATGCAGATAGAAAGAGCTTTGAAAGGGGTCCAAGTTGAAACTATCCATCATACTGATAGAACTATGAAGTACAGAATTAAAGGGCTTAGTGTTGTCCCTTTGAAAGAGCTCATGTACATTTTTCTTATCTCACACATCAAATAAATCAGCTAAAACAAGCTCGTACTTCCTATTTATAAGTTCTCCATACATGACATGATCTTGTGCCTTTTTCTATTTTTAGGTTTTCTGTAGATGATGATGGTATCATGACCACCGTTGTTGATTATTATCAGAGTCGGTATAATTGCAAATTGGAATATATTCACTGGCCAAGTCTGCAGTGCGGTGTCTCTGGCCGTCAGATTTATTTACCCATGGAGGTAGAAATTTACTGAACTCAACATCTGCCATGACGATTTAGCTTCTGATGCATAATTTACTTCTAGGTTTGCAAGCTTGTGCAAGGGCAGAGATACCGGCAAAAGCTTAGTACCACACAAGCAGCGAAGTTGCTGAAAATAACCTGCAAACGTCCTCAGAATAGGCTGAACGGAATATTAAAGGTATGTTTTATAATCACAGTTGTTTGCTAAGAGTTAATCTTGCTCTCTAGATAATGTAATGGTCAGTTGCTTTCCATCATGGTCCATGCATTAGGCAGTGGCATTGACACATAAGAGGTGTCGCGTGTATGTTTGCGAACCAAGTTGCGATGCATGTACTGGGTGTTACCAGGATGAGCTTATAGATTGAACAATTGATGCTTCAGTAGCACAAGTACATATATTTCCCAAAGTGCTTTATCAAGTCGCTGATTGCACTTGCTATTATCACTGATGCCTACGACAATGCATGCTTTGCAAGGTGAGAAGCATTGCGATGCTGATTTGCTTGATGGGCATCTTGGCAACACATATGATCAATGTGATTTATAGTGAAAGCTAGCAGCAAATGGCTATTTCGCCCTGTAGTATAAAATGAGGTTTAACATAGTATTAAATATGCCTGCTATTCAACCGAAAGCAACACTGAAAGGGAACATGATGGAAATTGCTGCACCTGACTTGTCCATCAATGTTTGCCTTTCTTGTAGAACAGAAAGGGCAACCCCATTTTCAGGAGACTAGTTATTGTGGTTAGCCTCACCGGCGGAGCTATGTTAGGGCCAAACAAGGCCGTGGCCCGCCCAGCTTTTCCAAAAAAATATTTATACCTAAGCCTACTGCTCAGCCCACAGACACACAAGACGAGTGAGCATGCAGCGATTCAAGTTTAGGGCCATGTTTAGCAACCTGGCCCGCCCAGCTTTTTGCTAGTAGCTCCGCCACTGGTTAGCCTCATAACAGATTATTAGCACCAAGACAACTTGGGTTTGAGAATGATTTGGAAATTAATCAGGCCCGTAGTTTGTGATGCTATTTGAGCTGAAACATCTATGCTAACATTTTGCTTCACGTTTTTTTTCGTCTATGGTCCACTTTGAATTAAAATTAGTGTACCTTTCCTGTATTAGGTACGGTAGACCTGCTATTTCAGAACACGCTACACTTCAATTAGACTTGTATCTTCCCTTATTCGATGGTCCAATTCCTACTACATAGGCAATCCGTACAGAAACAAATATTCAGCAAAAACTATCCAGCGTGCATGAAATTAAAAGCGTAAGGAGACTCTTCATCGTGTTACACTGAAATATGTGAGTGGCCACCCATGCATTCAACCAGATTAAAAACGATCAAACAGTCAGACTGCGGTACAAAATATTTCCACCCCAACTGAATCACTGCCATTCCTCACCGCTAGACCCTACCTTAGTCAACGGCAAGCAATCTGTTATTTGTATCTCTGGTGACATAGTGAACAAGCTTATCATGTACTCCTCCGTGACTCCGTCTCAAAATAAGTTAGTACAAAGTTATACTAAAGTTGAGACACTTATTTTGGGACGGAGGTTTGCATGAGTCTGGTAACTTGTTGTATTCAAGTTGAAGTCGTTTAAAGTTTAAAGGTGATGGACAGATATGGATTAGTTGGATCTCAACTCTGAACATGCAGATACGCACCGGTATTGAAAAGAGCTAGATAAGCGTCCAAATTAGATTAAACAACTTTGAGTGGTAATAGAAGTCCATAGAAATAAGGAGAAAACTGCCCCAAGCTATGCGCCGGAGAATTTTTCTTGCTAGTTCTTGTGTATCGTTGCTCTGATTTTTGGGCCAAAAAGCCACCAATGTTAATATGCTTGTGTAAATTTGTATTTGCTGGCATCTGTGCTATTTTAGCTTGTATATGCATCTTATTTTGAGCTGCTCTTATTGTTACTGAGATTTTCTCCACAGGCTGCGAGAGGTAATTTTGATGTTGAAGAGCTTACAGAGGGGGAGTTCTCGGCCACTGGATTTCCTAAAGTGCTTTATGGATCTGTTCTATCCGCCCCTTTGGTATACACACACTATACTTGTATGTTCTAACTACTATTTTTATTGGTTCTAAGATTTGCTTCCTTTTCATCATTTCAGTTGAAATATGGCAATGAAGAAATTTTTATGCCCATTGGTGGACAATGGAATATGGCTAACAAGGTGATGTCAAATTTACAAATATACATGTTTTTAGTTTCCTGCACCTTTTATTAATGTTTTGTAGACACACTTTGTCAGCAGTGTCTTGGAGTGGCATATATATGAATTTTCTCTTTAAAAGCAGGATAGTGTTGGTCCAATTGACAATATTTGGTGACTGTATGATTCTTTGTTATTTCAGAAAATAATTGATGGAGGAAAGGTGGAACGCTGGGCTTGCTTGAACTTTTCTAAAGTACCAGCTTTGGAGGTGGATAATTTTTGTAGTGAATTGATTAACATGTGTAACAAAATTGGGATGGTATGTTCTTCTTTCAGTGACTTCTCATGCTAGTCTACCTCCACAAAGTTTGGTACTATGATAACACAACAGCTTATAGACAACTCATGCAGTAAGAATATGGGGTAGCAATGCATGAACAGTTAGCTAGTAATTGAAAAGTTGAAGTGCGCCAATTTATTGTCACCAACAAAAAAGAAATGGGGACCGGAAAAGGGCAACGGCTGAAGGGTCTTGACAGATTAGGAGTGGCTAGCTTCACGTGAAATATTTTCCAGCGGAGAGTTCTTTATGTACTTTAGTGTTTAATGCTTAATTAGTCCCTTGATTATAAACACTAAACATTAGTGCTTAAAAAAATGTGAGGCTTCTACATTTTGAGGGGCTGTGTATCTGCACAGCTTGCACATGTTTTACGACCTGGTTATCACAGATATTTGACTAAGATAGATCATTTTTTTCGCTCTTAAGGTATTTGAAGGAAAGCCATTGGCAGTCCAGCAATCAAGCAATTTTATGGACATACAATCCGCCTTGGAGTCTCTTTTGAGTTATATTTCGGAACTATTCACTGATGAGGGCAATTGCCAGCGGCTCCAATTGCTTATTGTAGTTTTGCCAGAAGAAAAAGGGCACTATGGTATGTATATCACTATTGGTAAAAAGCTCTGTGATTTAATTGTTTTTCTTGTGATGTATGCTGCATATTTTTGTAGGTACTATTAAGCGCATTTGCGAGACACAACTTGGAATAGTATCTCAATGTTGCTTACCAAAGTATGTGAAAGCAAAAGTAAATGTGGAATACCTTGAAAATGTTGCACTTAAAATTAATGTGAAGGTATATTTGTATCCACACCCCTTGTTTCACATGTCTGACTGTATGTTGTATTGTTGGTAGTTACTAAATTCATTGCAACAGGCCGGAGGACGGAATGCAATTCTCCAGGAAGGATTGCCATTCTTGTCAGATATTCCAACAATTATTTTTGGTGCTGATGTCAGCCATCCCCACCAGGAGTGTACTCATCTTCTGTTTCGGCGGTGAGTACCTTAATGTTGGTTACAATATTCTTTTTGTTTTACTGTCACTGCATTTTGAATACAATGTTAAGCGGCATATTTTGGTTCAATACATAAAGCACAACTATCACTATTTAACAAATGCTTGTAGGTTGTTGCATCGATGGACTGGCCTGAAGTTGCAACGTATAGATGTGTAATCTCCGCCCAACAGCCAAAGCAGGAGATTATAACAAATCTATTTCAGGTTACTCAAGATTCAAATGGGTGTGTAAAAACTGATAGCATGATAAAGTAAGGATGCTTTGATCTGCGCTTTTGATTTGTCCATTCTGAATCCTCACATAATTGATGTGGAAACTGAGGTGTGCCTTTTGTTCATTGTAGGGAGCTTTTGTTGAATTTCTACCAGAAGAATCGTCGTAAGCCTGAACGCATCATTTTCTACAGGTGTGTTTACCAAAATATGATATTTCTGTTGTCTTGTGCTCTTGGACAAGCCTCTTGACTGGTCGTTGTTGTGCTTAGAGATGGAGTAAGCGAAAGCCAGTTCAGCCCAGTTCTGCTTCATGAAGTAGATGCTATCCGAAAGGTGACACCTTCAGCCTAATTTGTCTAGTTTTGAATTTATTACCTTGTTGTATTCACAATAATATGTTTCCCTTTTCAAGGCATGTATCTCTTTGGATGAGCATTATGTTCCACCAATTACGTTTCTGGTTGTCCAAAAAAGACACCAGACAAGGCTCTTTCCTATGCCGACCACCAGGAAACCTGAACCCAAAGGAATCAGGAAACCTGAGCCCAAAGGAATCCTCCCTGGTCAGTGTGCTGTTCAGTTTTTATACTTTAGTTTCCCAATCTCCACTCAGTGTTGCATCTGGCTTATCTTATTTAAATTTCTTCAGGATGCTGCTTGATTGCTTGTAATTTGATAAAAGTTCTGGTACTCTCTGGATCAGTGATATTTTCGGTTGGTACAAAAGAATGTAAACTGTGCAAGGGCATAGACTTGAGAATCAAAAATATAGATATAGATATGAAAATAAAATCGGCCAACGTAACGGGTGATCTTTGTCATGCTGGGTCAGTTCAGCAATTTTTCCAGCCAAACTAAATTTGGTTGGGGGTTCCAGCATTCTGCAGTGCATAGCCAAACTGATCATAGACAAGGTTACAGGTGAATCAATTTAGCAGAACTGAAACTGAGCTGCATTTATCTTCTTTTGTATTTATCTTCTACTGGTGACCACATCATGTTCAACCTTCTTCAAACCGTTAATTTCTAAGTTGTTTGCCTTTTTAACCATTTGTGTTCACTTCCTTATTTTTCTTCGGCGAAAACATAATGCCTTTGAGATTGCAGGAACCGTTGTCGACTATGGAATCTGCGACCCTTGTGGGTTTGATTTTTACCTAACTAGCCATGCTTCTGAGGTATATAGTATCTGGTGCCGTTGTATCTTCATGGTTTTGTTTTATGGATGGATATTTATAAACTATCAAGTGAATATATAATGCCATTTTCAGGGGAGCTGCAGACCCACGCACTACCATGTGCTGTTCGATGAGAACCGCTTTACCGCTGGTGCCCTCCAGTCCATCACATATAATCTGTGCTACACGTATGCTCACATCTCTATTCATTGAGTTTGTTTAGGTACTCAACTTGATTCTAACCTTTGTTTAACTCTGACCTTTTCCAAATGCAGTTATGCTCGCTGTACACGTTCTGTATCTATAGGTAAGTTCATTCCTTGCAATGATTTCTTCTCTATTTATGTGTGATTAGTAGCTGTAGGCCACATGAGATGGTACCCTACAAGAAAGGCCAAATGGAAATCCCTTATAATGGATGGGGCATGTAATTTAATGGAAAACTGGACTAAAAATAATGCGCTGAAATAATTGTATTATTTTTCATAGTGCTGCTCAGGTCATTGAAACTCAAATGAGGGTTGACATAACCTTTTTGATAACCCAACAATTGGATGCATGCTTATCTATATTGTCAGGTTATGCACATGGGTTTCATGGCATACTACTGGCTTTATGAGCTTCTGTGATAATGTTTTTCATGGCACCGATTTGTGGGTTAACAATCTTGGAGTATTTGTGGTATGTTTCCTTTTTCCAGTTTTTAGTGTTACGACCTACTTATAAAATTATTACTTAGGTGTTTCCAGTCAAGAACTACTACTGCAGGGCTAACCAGACACCCTCTGCTAATACGCCAATGATACCTGTGACAGTGGCAGGATTTTTTCTTAGAAAAGCAAAGGAAAATTAAGTAACAACAAATGATTCGTGTGACTTGAATATTGAACGAAAACTTAATTGGATACACGAGTGTTCTAATTGAAGCTGATGGACTACCTCGCCATGATTATGGTTGTATGCCTTTGTTACATGAGAATGATATGGGGCGAAAGCTTGCCCCAACCCTCACAAACAAGTGTGTTAGGTTTTAATTTAGGACTGGATGGCATATACGTCTGCCTAGTGTCTCATAAAACCTACTACTAGTGTAACACATGATTTTGAAACTTGAAAGCAGCTTCATTCGTACTTATAATTATCACTGTGCAGTTCCGCCGGTGTACTACGCGCATCTTACTGCGTCACGGGGGCGGAGCTACCAGGGCAATTTTGGTGATGGTTCAAGCATAAGGGAAACAACACCAGGTGACGAACTACCTGAGTTCCTACAAGTCCCAAAGATCCACGAGAATGTGTCGGAGGCCATGTTTTACTGCTGAATTCGAGGTGGTGGGTCGAACTATTATCGTCTTTGCTCCGAAACTTGGCCCTCGGTCACCTTTTGTATATTCAGAGTCGCGACTTGTGAGGCCGATAACACTGGCTCAAAATTTTGCTAACGTTGGCTCAAAAGTTTTGGATACGAAGATTCAGATATCACCGGTTGTGCATGTACCTGTCGTTATCTCTAGAGTGGTTTGTTCTTCTAAATGGAACTAGTTTTATTGAGTAAAATTTCTTTCCTTTTTTATTTACATCCATATTGGAGGATTACATTTGAATTTCCTTGACCAGCGGCAAGTAACATGTACTCTTGACAATTGTAAGATCTTCATTCATTATGTACAAAAGCTTTGGTTGTTCTCATGTTGATGACCGCACTCTTCAAGTGTGAGTTTAGCTGGTGGAATCTGTCATAGGACTACGGCGACAACTACATTAAACAATCAAGGTGAAAGGACTTTTGTTGTTGCACATGCATGAAAAGGATTGAAAGAGAAAATTTTAAATTTTCACAACACAAAAATCAAATGTTCTATAATGTTTCGATATTTCAATCATGATAAAATTCAGCATTTAGAATTCAATTATTATTATTTTCATTTTTTTTTTGAATTTGTCAGTTTTGAAGAATTTTAGATTAACAACATTCAAAATTCAGGACTTCAACGGTAATGTTTGAAATTAGGAATTTTGAGTTCCGTGATGTTAACCTTATAGTTAACAAATTTAAATTTAGCTTTTTCCTTATGAAATTTGGAGAAGTATATTAATGTTAATTTTCAGCATGTAAAACCTCATTGTCCCAAGTACATAGATCAAAATTATGTAATACAAAAATTGTTGGGATATGCTAAAATTTCAAAAAAAAAAGATAATAGACATGCGCTATTTCATCGGTCATGCTTTCTTTCCACACAATGAATCGCCAGTAATGAGAAAAATTGGATTGAATTTTCAACCAACCATATACTAGAAAATAAGAGCGGTACATATAGTTCCATAAGATATGTATGATTCTCCAATTCAAACAACTGTAACATGTCATTCCCTTTTCAAACACACATGGCAAATTGACAGGATGAAACCTTGAAATTTATTGCCATTCATCTCATCTTGTAGTGCAGTATGGACCAAGTGTGCAAAATACTAGCTTTTACACATCTCTAAGAACAGGCAAAAGAAAGGGCTTGTAATTTCAGTCCAGGAATGACAGGGTTCAGTCAAAAAATTTCAACGTGAAGGTGTTGAAAGCCACCTATGTGCTACGGGTAACAGCTAACAGGTAGTCCATACTCCGTGGAGTAATATACCACATTAGTGTAATACTAGTTTCAGAAGAAATTCTCTCTCAAGAAAAATTTCAGAAGGAACTGCATAATGAAACTGTCTAATTGCCTCATATTGTCTTTTACTTTTGAAAATAAGGTGGAGATCTCTGCCTTATATTTTTTTTTTTTTGTGAGAGTACGCCAATGGCAAACCTTAGCTTTATAGAAGGCAGAAAAATATTTACAAGAGGTTACAAGGGGTCGGCACCACACATCGATGCACTACACCCACTCCACTCCCACTCTCTAAGTCGATTACTCACAAAACGTAGACACTCCCGAGCCTCCTGCCAATTCCCACAACTTCAACTCTTGAAAGATGATTGCCATAGTACCCCGAGCATCCCTCACATTCGCATTTCTGAATACTCGTGCATTTCGCTGCTTCCAAAGTGTCCAACAGATCATCATGACGAAGGAGTCAAAACCTTTCCTGTTAGCTTTGGTAATCCGCTTCCTTATCGTCTCCCACCACTCTTCCAGCCTGGACTGCACCGAGGGTAAGAGTGCCAGCTCCACCCCAACTTTAGCAAAGCATAGATACCACACGTGCCTCGCGAACACGCATTGCAGCAGCAAGTGATCCACCGTATCTTCCTCTTGGTCGCAAAAATAGCACGGTGAGGTTTCCTCCTGCAGGCCATGTCTGAGTCTTCTATCCGAAGTCCAGACTCGGTACTGAACTGCCAACCACATAAATATCTTGCAAGATAGCAGAGCCCAACTCTTCCATATGCCTCTATACGACTGGAACCGGATCCCTCCCTCACAGAACATTTTGTATGCCGAGGCTGCTGTGTATTTTCGGTCCACACACCACTCCCAAACAGCCATATCCTCCTGATCCGGGATTGGATGTACCTCAATCAGCACTTCCCATAGCCGGATGAATTGTGCCAATTCATCTGTGGACATCTCACCTGTGATATCCATAGTCCAAGCATGGGATAGCAAACCCTCCTGCACCACTCTTCTGTTCCTCACTTGGGTCTTGACTTTGAGCACGATCAAGGGTGCCACCTCCGCAATGCATGCACCATTGATCCATCTGTCCTTCCAGAACAGAATCTGAGCTCCATCTCCTAGCTTCCACTTGACTAAACTGTTGA